TAAAGAGTTTAAAAGCTGACGTGTAGGGCGTTAGACCTTCGCCATTCACTCTGACGAAGGGCTAACACTCGAAGCGTCAGCTTTGAAACTCTTAACGATGGCCAATTTACGTCTTCAACTCATCTGACAATACTTATTACCCTGTTATATTCTCCAACTGACGCAGCACCACAGTTTCTTTAGAAAATTATCCACTTCATATTTTTCCTACCAATAGTTTGACACCAAAAGTTGCATATTGTTACTCGACTGGCGTTTTTTTATTTTTTTTAATACAGTAGTGAGTGAATGGGAGGGGAAAGTATGATTCTCTGGATCGTCATGATCGTCTGAATAGTCTTGGAAAAGTTTCGCAATAATCGAGGCAATTTCGTGGAAATACTACCAAGACAATTGGGAGGTTTGGACGGAGCGCACTTTGATCCACACAGTAGTGTTCCCTTTAGATCGCCACAATTTTCTTTATCTCTTGAGAACACCCCATGATCGCATGGAATCTAAGCTTAAGCAAGTTTAATTTATGTAAAGGACGTTCAATTATTTAATTATTTTGTCCCTCTCCATTTCGATCGCTGTATTCATACAGACTGATGCAATCCAACAAGTAGGTAAGGAAATGCATATAACAAAATAGATACACGCAGTCAGCTAAATCAGTTTGTGAAACTTAAATCTGTATTTAAGTATAATTTGTAATTCAGATCAACTGGGAGAAAGTTTATAATTAAATTACTCACCTTCTATGTGCTCTCTTCTTGCCACAACACCACTTCCTCTTCCTCTTGAATAGTACTTCTCATCTCCAACAGGAAAGGTTGTACTCTGTTTGTTATCGTTAGAAAATTCAGCCGTAATGTAGGGTTCACCCTCCGATTTATCTTCATACCTTTTGATGACATTAACATACTCCTTATCTGATGGTTTTCCAGGATCTTTCCCTTCTTTAAGTGGTACGACGATGATTTGGTAGTAACTGAAATAAATAAAAAAAGGTATTTATTAAGCAATGTAGAAAGTCAAAACCCAGTTTAATGGCATCCCATTAAAGTAAAAGAGGAGTTAATAAAAAAAAGCGAATTCTCAAACGAGCAAACAAGTAAGGTTTTAACATGATATCTGCTTAAACAAACTTTAGATGATAAAAGTGAAAGCACGCAGTGACCTTATTAAAGTTATCACGACTTAGAAAAAAAAAAAAGCAAATTTCAATGACAGGGTTAACCCTTTAACTACCACGGGTGACTGAGACAGAATTTCTCCATACCAAATTAATACACTATCAAACAGACAAGTGATGAGAATAAAGAAAAATATCAGCTCGGGGATTATTAGTTGATTCAATACCAAATTCTCAGAACTAACATTATAAGAATTGTATGGCAGACAGTAAGGAAAATTACTAGAGATCCTGGGAGTGAAAGGGTTAAAACTCCTTTGTATCGCATGTGATAATTGGGGTGATTTATTGAATCAACTTTAAGATTAGACTTTTGGAATCATTTACAATTCAATCTCGAGATAGAAAAACCGACAAAAAAACCAGCATGAATGTATGAAATAAACAATTCTAACCTGACTTTATCTCCATTACTCAAAATTTGCCAGGGTTTAAAGGCAACAGAAACTTCATTTGTCCCTACGTCGTCAGGATCCGGAGGGGTGGGAGGGTCTTAAACAAAGAGAAACACAGATAAATGCAAATCAAAAAGAATATTTAGAAATTACGTAATATTTAAATGTACATGAAATACACTAGTAAAGACGGTAAATCCTGAAAGTCAAATGACGAAATAAGTGAGTAAATCATTTTTGGTAACGTTTAGCATACTTATGTCAGTATGGATTTACATCAATTATTACACAAGTCCTGACATTGAATGTTACCATAGTTATTATGTTACCATCATTATCATTACTATTATAATTAACATTATCATTATTATAAAAATCAACAAATCCACACGATTATCATTATCAACATTTATTAAGATTCACGTCATGAGGTAATGGGTGGCATCATTGACCTTAAATGCAAATTATATTATCCAATAGCTTTAGTTGTCTGAGGTCTTTCGTAAGATCTTTGCAGTACCCAATAGAAAGTCCTTAAGTTGAAAAACCAATGATACAAGGACCAGCTATCTTTTAACGGAAGGATGAAAATGCTTGGTCATTGTTCCAGGTGGTCCAATGACATCAGGAGCGTAGGATACTTTCCTTTATTTCCCGATATTTTGAGTTTCTTTTAAAAGATCCTTTCATGAAATTCTTTCTTGCCTTTTCCTTTTTCTCGCACTTGAACAACAAGAGGACACGCAACGTTTTCTGTGAAGCACGACCTTTGTTTCTCATAGTTATCACTGGCACTATTATAATTATTATTACTTTTATAATTATTATTATTGTAATCATTTTTTCCATGCTAATGTCATTATTATCATAAATATAAAGAGAGAAGAAATCAGAACATTCGTCACTTGCTTTCATGCTGAATTTTATCTTTTTTTCCTTTTTATTTCAAAATTTACGAAATAATAACAAAGATGGTATTATTTATTGAATGATTATATTACGTCAAAAAGTTTGTGCTCTTTTCTAATTATCATTTTTATTATTAAAATCATTGTTATCATCATTATTAGCTATTTAGTTTGTTTTTCTCACCATCCGTTGTAGCTTCCGTGGGTTTACTCTGTGGACCTTCACCTTTGGCAGTTGCAGCCGAAATGTGAAAGGAGTAAGTAGTCGATGCTCTGAGCCCATTTATAACCACTTTTGGCGAAGAACTTGATACTTTCCTTTTTTTTCCATCCGAATACGTTATGAAATACTTAGTGAAAATGCCATTCAAATCACGCTCAGGAACAGGTTTCCATTCCAATTTAATACTAGTACTGTTCTCTTCCGCTGCAGTGATTCCTTCCGGTGCCACGGAAGGTACTGAAACGCATATAATCAATTTAAGGAGTTATACATATATAATAACATACATTATGTACTTCAAGTCAACCTCAGGTTGGTCACTTTATTTATCATATGACCAGCTAGGCCCCGCGCACGCAATTCCATTGAAAAAACATTGTGCAAACTGACGTCAGTGGGGTCAGACGAATTGACACGAGCCATTCCGAGAAAAGCCGTCCGCCCTTGTACTCAAGCAGCTTTGTTGCAAAAAAACTTTACGGAAAAAAGAAAAGAGTTTTTAAAAAAATAGCGTTTTTTGATGAATTGTGAGTTTCTTGTTCAAACTCGAGGAAAAAAAAGAAGCAGGAAAAGTTACTATTGTAAATTATTTTGTGGTTGTCCCACGTGTGCCCATCTATCTCGTCATATTTAGATTGAAACAAGTTTTCCGAATTTTCAACAGTTAGTGGTCATATGATATAATGCTTGTTGACTGAGTTTGGTCAGGCCGGACGGGAAAATATTTAACTCTTGGTCGTGACGTACGGACCGAGCGCTTGTACGGCCCTCCAACACAATCAGTAAGTACTTAGTAACACAATCCGCCTCAATTACAAGATACATAAGCAATTGTCTCCGTCGCCTTACAATTTCTAGCAAACACAAACTAAGATTTCAAGAACAT